ATAACTTTACGATAGAGGAAATACGATATATAAACTCTAGATCTTTTTTTCCATCCAATTTAATCACTTTCTTCCAGTTTTTGAAATTGCGGGAACCACTGAGTAGTTTAATTAAATACAAAACAATATATAGTAAACGGTATAAAACATTCTGAAAAATGTTTATATTCGACGTTTCGGCTAGGTCATCATCAGGAATGATGACATATCATAGGTACGGTATTAAACACCACACCAAAAGTCATGTATTAATAACTGTAAAATAATAGATAATCTGAGTCTTTATGTACTATTTAAAGAACGGAACCAAAGCTTCTAAAGGACTAATAATAGGCCTATTTAACTAATAGTGACCTTATAGTTATATAGCCTAGTAGTAGTATTTCTCATATTTCTTCACTTGTATATATGTTAGTTTCATTACAGCTTTGGTAAGTTGTTACATGATGAAATATGGTTAGGCCTATAAACGTCAGAACGATCGCTTGTCGAGTGTTCCTTTAGGCTTTACCCTATTGTATAAACAATGTTCCATATAAAATATAAAAGAACAGACAATATATTCCATTTGTCCCGAGTCAGCCACAACATTTAGTGCTTGGCGGCAGACACTGCCTGTGCCATGCACCGTGGTTAATTAAGGAGTGGCTGGTTGCCAGTGGCTGGTCGCCAATGTTAGTGGCTTTACATATATCACCCATGGCTATGGTATGTGCAGTGAACAAAACATTGTATGTTTATAGTGATGTCTCTGGCTACTCTAGGAGTCTAAAACTCTAAGTAAAGCAAAACAATTGTCTGTCACTTATCGTAAAAATGCTAGACCTGCGTCTTCTCTAATCATTTTCTTTGATTTCTGTACTGAAGAATACTCACTGCAATGAACTTGTGCAATAATTATACTGCAGTCTGCAGACTGCAATGCAGTAATCCCATGGGGTCATATAAAGTATATACGGAGTGTATCAGGCAGACTCTCAGCGGTAAATGCATGCTGCTCGCAGGCTGAAATTTATAATTTTCCCCCTTCTAAATTTCAGCCTGCGAGCAGGCTAGTGTCAAAACGTTGGGTCTATATCATATATATATATATACCAACCCACTGACTCACCAACTTTATGTTATTTTCAATTGTGTTTTACTAAAGAGTAAAGGGTTCGGGCTTAGGTTGGTGGGGACTGGGGATGTTGGTGGGGATTACTGTTAAGAGTTGGGGTATTATTCGACTACTACATAGCCGCTATGTTGAAAAAAATACAATTTCTTTGTGGAAAACTACATGAAGTTGGTGAGTTGGTATATTACAGACACCAGTTTCGACTTCTTCATCAGGTCAGGAGGATCAAGAGTCGCTATACGTAAATTTATCTACAAACATTGGCGGCGATGACGTACAAGGTGAGTCGACCAACCGCTTTGCTTCGCGTAAACAACCTCACGTATAGACTTTCCGTTCGGGGGCGTGGAGTGGGGAGCGCATATTCCGAGGTCACGGTGTGCGTGACTCGAAAAAACAAACAAATGTAAATATATTGTCATTGTGTAAACATAGATTGTGAAACTCGATCAAGCCACAGATCAAACCATCCGGTTTCAAAGGTCAAGTAACACTAAAAATTTTTACATGTAGAATTTGACTAGCATAAATAAACAAACACTCGAATCTCTCAAAAAGAACATTCCTGCTACAAATAGTCTCTGTCGTGAGACGTTATGACATTTTTGTACACAATTATTAAATCTTTCTACCAATGTCGCTAGAAACTCGTTTTACTTTCAAATAATTTCGAATACCTTATTTGATTTAAATTCGGCGGAAATACTGTTTTTTAAATTCACGCGATTTAACTTCGCGTAGCCTGCTCACAGCCCAAAATAACCGGAAATTTGGAAACCGTTTCAAAGTTTTCGGGTGGGGCCGCGAGCTATTTTCTTGGTGTATCTAATAGATAGATTGTACGTTTAATAGAAAACCTTCTTACAGCTATACAGTGTGTATAAAAAAGTATAGCCTTTCAAATTAACGATAATTACAAGTGATTTGATTGTTCTCAACAACCTCGTTCCCAGGCTCTTTGCTCTTGTGAAGCAAAGAGCCTGGGAACGAGGTTGTGTTCTCAACTGCTTTGAGTTAATAATGATACGCGACGAAAACATGTCTTATTTACAAAAGAGATCAATTATAACTTCATTTTAATGCTGCTTGTACTGTACAGGGTATTTCATTGAGTGGTTCGTCAGTACATGTCCCATAAGTAGAAAGACTAAGAAAGTTTAAGTCTTTTGACTTTGTTTTACGGCTCGCTAATTTGTTCGAAGTAATTATAGCTTGACTAGCGTGAATTCCATAGAATACGGCGTTATATATGCTTGATTTAAATTTTGAAAGGCTATACCTTTTTTTACACACACTGTATAACCGAATTAAAAAGCATATTAAAATAATTAAGTAAATATCTAAAGAAGTAAAAATTTGTATACTGTACAAAAGTATATTATTCGTATATAGGAATTTAGAATTCACACGGCGAGCGCACATGGATACGAATGTCTTACCTCAATCCTCATTGTGTGGACTGAACTAAATCGGTCTGCGGTTTGATATACTACTTCATTATAGAAATCATCGTATACCTGTTGTCTACACTCAGAACGTTTGTGCACGATAATACGAATTGGAAATGTCATGATTTTCATTGCGCGCTTTTGGCAATTGGCAGATGTGATATAACACAATAATAATATATTTATTCCATTACGCCATTACTGGTACATAGGATATATTACATTACAACAGATACATATACAAACAATAAAACTATAGCTAATCCTTAATTACAAACAATACAGTCAGAGAAAATCTTAGTTAACTCGTATTAAAATGCATCTAGCTAAACACATTGATGTTTGACATAGGGATTATAGGATTATTTCTAATTTGCTTGCCTAACTTTCAATATTTTATGTAAAACATTTACACACTGACACAGATATCGTCTTCGCGCATATTACAGCAGCAAACGTTTTGCGTAGTTTATTCTCGTTCAGTGTCTATGGTATGGCCTGCACGATTTCTAATACCGCGCGAGCCACAATTAAGGTATTAAATTAGCATGCAAAACGCTTGAGCGCAGTGGTAGGTCTAAGAGCAAAGTGTTGTATTTTCCCTCAACCTTGCCAAACCATTGTTGTCGGATCTTGTCATTGTTCTTATAAAGATTGTTCTTATATAAAGACTTAACTAAAATAAAGACGGAAGTCTCTATTTTTTAATACAAAATGCTATTATATATGCAAAAGTCCAAAACACTTAAAAAAAATTTTCCGCGTTGACCACTGGGGCTGACCCCACAGATAAACCAGACGTAAACCAGACATCAGCAGATAAGTGTTGAAAGCCAAAGAATCGATCTTTGAATTCGCGCCAAAACAGCCATAAATAGCGCAGCATGCTGGGAGTGCCGCTGGGTGGTTACGATGAAAACCCCCAAGTTAGGGCTGGGGATTGAATGCGGGCCAGATCCAATATTTATTATCTAAAACAACATGAAAATAACACCATGTAGTGTTGTTGGAAAACTTTCTTCTATTGATTGCCATGAAATTTTGAATTCGTAAAAATTCCGATTTTAATGAACTTATTGGTCGACTGGTTGCAAAGCGGTGTCAATTGGAAGTACTCTTTTCACATGCTGTCAAGGCGAAATTACAATCAGACAGTTGCACTAGTTAGAGGAATTGAAATCTGACTTGAGGCGAAAACTCACACACGCGCAAATGATTCCTATAATTCCTGTCAGGACAGGAATTATTGGACTCTTTATTTACGATTCAGTGTAGCTCTGGGGACTGGGGTGGGTATAGGCATGAACGAAGGCCCTGATCAACTTGCAAGGATCACAGAAATTCCGTTGCCACAGGCACAGAAGAGCTTAAAAAGTCCAAGGTGATTCATAGCAGATCATTGCCGAAAAAGTATTTCTATACCAGATTTCCTGGTTGGATGATGGCCAAGAATTTCTGATCGTCCACCGAGTACGCCTACACAGATTTATTTATTCAGTGGGCAGGTTCTGGGTTGGTACGGAAATCAATGGAATGGATAAACTATGGGACGGGTAGGCTTAATCGATTAACTGGCAGATTTAGTAAAAATTCCAAATGCATCTACATATAGCCAGCCCGCGCATGATACTAGTTTCAAATCACAAGTTGTAGAAAGTAGTGGATCATGTATGGGATTCGATCGCCATCGAAAATTGAAGGCGATCGAACTGGCCCATTCAACGAGACAACAAAATAGTTTTGTATTAGTCTAGCTGCATCATCGTGCATGTACGACAAAAATATGGAAGGTTTTACATATCCACAGGAGATATTTTGGGGCTAAGCTTTCTAAAACAACTTTTAACAAGCAAGGACAACTTGCTTCAAGTCAATCTGTGCAAAACCTCTCTTTTTTATAGAAACTCCTTTTTGATCGAATTGTCTTTTTATGCCTATGGAACAATCTCTCTCCGATCATACGAACTCTATATTCACTACACTTCTCAATTACACTCTTCTTTCGATGTTAACAGGATGCACACTTGGAAAACCTACTTCTCCAAATGTCTTATGTATTAAATAGTGTTCTTACTAGTCCTTGTCTTTAATTCTACAGTCTACTTATTGTTTTGTATCAGGTTGGTCTTCACATGGGACTCGCATCCTGTTGACCATACCTTCAATTATTTTTATATATTTTATAGCACTTGTGTATGATTACAAAGCTAATAAATAAATAAATAAATAAAACGTAGATCGAAGAAAGTCGTCAGTGATTTGTTGCAAGGCTGCAATTATTATACCACGTCCTTGGCGCCAACTTGTCTGATCTGAATGGAGAGTGCTACATCTGGTAATTATCAGTCATCAACATAGGTCATAGCCCACCTCAAGCTTACATACCAACCAATCACCAGCACGATTAAATTATGTTACTCGTATTGAATGTGAATGTACAAACGAATGGGGATGGATTATTACGCTTCGCTAATTTATACCTCAACCTATTGCATTGCCATTGGTGAAAGACAATAAATATTTGTCGAAAAATTGAAATTATTAGGAGTTTCTATTACTTTGCATATTATCAAAATACTGAGAGGTTCTTGAAAATTATAATACAACATTGGCTGGCATACCAGAGGTTGCAGAGGAGGCTATAACGTACATATTTGTCGAACGTATATGGAGCATGCAGAACAAAACGTTTACTTTATTCGGAGTTGTATTGTATTTTACAAAATATATTCAGTGGTTCCTGTAATTTATGGAGTTCAAGTATTCAATTTCAACATCAACAGACTTACTAGTAACGTCTGGTTTCATTTTGACGAATGCAAAACGTGACTTGGGGTATACGGTCCTGCACGACGAGTGCATGCCGTTGCCCGTAGATATAATATCGTTTTGATCGTCCCTCAGATTTCCACCCTGTCGGTCTTATCGCCTAAACGAACAAGGGTAAGATGATGGTCTTCTTCAAATTTCTCTTCGATATTATTAAAACTACGTGGTATGATGCATGACGTCAGGGACGCCGGAACGATGTGAAGGCAAGGGGGGCAGATTTTCGTGAAAGGGCACTTTTGAATTGATATACTATATAAGAGATGTTTGCAAAACATCGGGAGTTGAACTTCGCCTAATCGTGTTTTCTATTTATTGGATGATAGGGGTGTGAGGGGGTTCTCCGCCAGGCGATTTAGCTATTCTTGAAGCTCGATGACTGCATTTCTTGCGTTTTCTGAAGCAAATTCGTAAAAGAATTGCACTAACATTTCTGACAATTCGCTATTTCGCTAAGGCAATCCCTCAAATTGAAAGGGCACCTTTGCCCCCCTTGCCCCTCCTGGTAAAGGGTAACGGGGGCGGCTGCCCCTCCTGCCCCCCAGTTCCGGCGTCCCTGCATGACGTTTGTCTAACATTTTTAAAATTAAAAGATCAAATTCCTCGTTACATGCAGTTGAGATCTGATATCGCCATGGGTTTATACGAATGGACCTTTCCCCTTATAACTAAAATTTTGATTTAGACAAAAATTTCATCACAGCTTGAAAGAGCATCACAAAATTAGTAATATTCCAAAGTTTCGTTGCGAAATGTTGTGAAATGCGGATAATATAGCCTTGCGAAGTTTGCCGTTTTTCAGTCATTTTGTATTACGCACGGGAAATGGACACCCAATCGGGTGTTGGGGCATCAATTTCCCGTTTGTAATACAAAATGACGGCTATCTTTAAAACGGGGAATTGGGAAGGGAACGGGGAAGGGAATGACCGGGGAATGGTTCCCCCATTCCCCGTTTAGCCCAAAATGACTGAAAATTGCAAATTTCGCAAGGCTATATTATCCGCATTTTACAACATTTCGCAACGAAACTTTGGAATATTACTAATTTTGTGATGCTCTTTCAAGCTGTGATGAAATTTTTTTCTAGACTTGTCTTGATCAAAATTTTAGTTATAAGGGGAAAGGTCCATTGCATTGGGACAAAACATGCCAACATATTGTGACTTTACTGATTAAAAACGGTTTTCCACTAGGCGAAATTTTTCGATCGAACCGAAATTTCTATTGTTCAAATTCAAAAGATTTCTGTTTAGTTCCATCTATTCTGAGTGCTAAGAAAATTTCGGTGTTCTATCCGCATTAGTAAATGACTATGCGTAATGCGAACGCATGTCTATATTTTGCATTTCCATGCAGCATGTTTCCTAGGGTTGCTGCATAAAACAACGGTCATTTCTACAATATCGTATGATGACCAAGAAAACATTAAGAAATTTGAGACTCAAGAATTAACATGCGTGGCTAACTTCAAACAGTTTTCAAGGAAAATACATGCATGCATTCCTACTTTGTAATCGAGGATAAAGAATTATTCGGGGTTCCATTATTTTGTATTTTATAAAAATGCGAAGTCGGGGCATTCTCAAGAAACATGTCCTGCAGTGCACCTTGATTTTTGCATGTTTTGTATATAAAATTACTATATATACGACTTGCTCTACCTTTATGTTTGCCAAACTGTTTTCTACAGTTTGCTGCAGACAAACAAAATATTGAACGAAACTTAGACATCAATATTTTCTTGACTGATATTTGATATCGTGTGCAATAGTGACTATCTGATCCTGTTTAAATTTCGGAACTTTGTGTACTGTACTAGCCAAACTTACAAATTCCATTATATGATGAGGCCTACTTCTATTAACTGTGATGAGACGAATAACATATTGTTTCGATATAAGTATTGTATGTAAGTTAAAGTCAAAGAGGGAATGCAAAATACATGAGGTGATGCCTGAGCTTGACTCCTTGAACTTTCACATTTGACACCAGCAGAGGGAGACATTACGTCAGCAATATTTTGTTTTCAACAAATACTATATCATGTTTATCCACTAATTTTTTACTTCTTATAAATATTTTTATCCACGCTGTTTTAGTTAATGTAATCGCCTAACTATCTTGTAGTAATTGTATCACTAGCATCACTGCATCATAACTATTGTATTTAACCAGGGCTTCTTTATCCGGACACCATGCCATTTGGCTTTCAACGAGCGACTATTCAAGTGGGGTTGACGAAATGACGGATGCCTTTCTATGACTCTATTTAATACCGACAGTTATCAATGTGCTAACTGCACACATACTACGTATTTTTTATATTACCATATATTTCTTTTTTAAACAAGCCTCTCTTAAACGGACACGTCTCTATACGAATCCTATGGCTATGCTGTGTTTGACCATGAAATTCTTTCTTTTAAAGGTTTCTGTAAACCTCGAAATACAGAACTTCGTACCTGGCTGTTATAACTTAACCTACATATATTAAAACTTTCAGCCTGTGTTATCTCTAGAGATATGGATTCACACAGTCACCCCATGCTCAAAGAGACTTTTGTTGATCTGTGATAAAGCATCCATCATCACTTACAGGAAATGACGCACATTCGGTAATGCAAATCCAGACACCCACTTGACGGGACGAAAATACTATATTGGCTTTTGCAGCAGGCAGCAAATTGCCTACGAACAGGTGTTTATTCAGGTGGGCCCAGTTTATTTCCCTCGGGTTTCCTATATAAACGCCTGCATTAAACTTTAAACTATATACTATAGTAATAATATAATATAACAAGTTTGTCACAGTTTACATGTTATTTACATATCACATACGTTTACAATACAATAAGCTTATACAAAAACAAGATGTGACAGGAGAAAGAACAGGACTCGTCCAGACCCCTAAGACATTAACTAGTATTTGTTATACATAATAGTAATACTATAACGTAGGCAGTTGTATTAAAAGTTACCTCAAGAAGTGAGATTTACAATTGTATACATCCAAGAAAAAGTTTTATTGATAAAGTTTTCAAAACTTATTAGGTTCTTTCTTAGCTCAAAGCCATGACCATGTTGTTGGAGCATTGCTCGAAGTGGAGAATTGCTCTTTTTGCTAAAAAGTTTTTGCAGCTGCTATCTTGTTCCAGCGGGCAAAATGCAAAATAATACGAATACCAAAAATCCCTGAAGCGAGTACTAACAGTAACGATATAAAAAGTAAACTGGAGACTGCAATGATAAAAGGGATCTATTGAGTTTAAAATTCAGTAATTATCGGGTTAGAAAAACTCTACTTACTTTCTCTCATCGCCATATTTGTCAAGAGCCACTATCATTGTTATTGTTACGATTACAGCGGGTGTACCTAAAAATACGTATAAATAAAAAAGGCATGAGAAACCGTTTCCTTTATAAATCTTAGGCAATAATAAAGAACTTTAAGGGACGGACCATTAGAAAAGTGATGGGGGGGGGGGGCATTTCCAACCCGTACGATTATTTTTTCAAAATTTTTTGCTTGTGTCGATAATTATTTTTTTACTAATCCCTTGCTCGAATTTTATTTTTTCAATTTTTCAATTTTTTCAGGACATAAAAAAGGGTCAAAAAAATTTTGCGGACTAACATCAGTTTAGTTAAGATCAAAACACATTTTCCCCGACAAATTCTTCTTAAAACATGCTTAAAACGCGTTTTTTGCACCTATTAGTTTAGAAAATTTTTTTCTCACACCATTACTGATATCAAAAAACGTTTTATTTTCCAAATTTGGGGCCACCCTTACACAACTTATAATTTTCCCTATTGAAAAGTCTCTGCACGAATTTTTTTTTAAACTTTTTCGTGCTCAAATTTTTTTTCTGTTTTCCTTGCTCGATTTTATTTTTGCTTTTGCCCCATCACTTTTCTAATGGTCCGCCCCTAAGCAACTTTTTGAAGATAGTTTTTCTACTCTTCGTTGTTGACGGGATTTTTCGATCTGTGTTGTATCCAAATGAGTTAACTATACACGACTCGTTTTTCCTAACTATATATTCGAATGATTTCGTTCATTAATCGTGAAAATGGACACGATTTTTGAATCCAAAATAATTTAACCCAGTTTGAATGGAAATGTTGCAATCTTGGGACTTTTCTTCAATAAAGTTTTTGAAAAAGTGGGTGACACCAGTGTCATGTTCAGGAATTTCGTATTGTTAGGTTTCTGTAACAGATATTTAAATCTACATTTATCAGCTTCATGTTTTTTCTTTTAATTTTTGTTAGTTTTAGTAAATAATAATCAATTGTTATTTCAACAAAACACGCGCAAACATCTATTAAAATGCCTATTACTGCTTCGTTCAGTTAGAAAACATGCATGATGTATCCGAAATTTCGCGTCTTACCCCAAGCAAATAGACAGCATTTCAACATAAACATGGAAGGAAACGAATCAAATTTACGAGCTTTGGTTATTGCCAGATACAAACTGAATGCTTCTACCGCCATCCACAAAAACGCTGCCGACAAGAAGTAATGCAAGGCGACTGCTGCTGTCCCACAGCGGGCTAATGATGACGACTTTGATCCCTCAGGCTCAGGCGTGGCCACGAACACGATTAACGTTAACGACAAAGCAGTGCAGTAGTTCAACAAAATCTTCATTGGAATTTTGCTACGGAGTTCGCTAAAATGTAAAAATAACACTAGTATTTTATTTTATTAAACTATATATATGCAACTGATACGTTTTCACAAGTAGGCCTAACATATCACAGAAACGGACATAATGAACAAATATAGATACGAACACAGGACAGCAGAGCCAATTACTGAGATGGGGGAGTGAGGGGCTTAACAATTGCAACATGATTTTACAGGGAATTTATCATAAAGGATATATTATATATTTATTTGATCTTAAAAATATATATACATACATACTAATCATCTTTTTAATCACCTTAATATTAGTATCGTTATTATTGTAAAGATCAGTCCGGCCAATGAGAGCGCACATCCAACATAACTAATTACACCAAGTATTCTCTCATGTTTTGTGATTACCGCTGGTTTGATATCCTAAAAAATAAATATATAATGTGATCTGATCCGTCCACAGTACTCAGATGCAGACAAATTATCAAAAATTTAATGAAGATAAATGAATAAACTTACCATCAACATCGCAAAGTTGGTAAGATGGTTACAGTTACAAAGGATTCTGCCATCACTAAGAACCTTTTTAAACATGCAACCTTCTTGTGACCAATTCCCCAGGGTAAAATCCCAGTATGAACACAATTTACTGTTCGCGTCTTCTCGCGAGACACTCTGTAGAGCTCTGGCTCGCTTAAATTCGCAACTAATAATCCCTTAATGCTTCCAGCAATTACAAAACTATTCAAACGGCTTGACGTCTTCTTGGTGTCCTCCAAGGACACTTTGAAAAAACTTGTTTTCTTATAGAATACAAAAATGATTCTCTGTTGTCTGGAGCTGTTCGTAATTGTTGATTCGTCAAATATAGTTCGTGGAATACTGATCGAAGAAGATGAAGCTTGTGGAACGTGGTCATTATATTGTGTCAAACTGTCATTAATCCTCAACGGTGATATACGAGATTTTCTGACAATCCCAGAAAATGTTAGCCCGCTAAAATGTTGTGGTTGTACAGCCTGTATATTAACAGCGTAGTTTCTTTTGATTTTTTGAAATTTTCCATTTGGACCGATGACTAATGTTTCTATGCCAAAGTTATTCAAAGCTTCGACAATCCTGTAAAGTGTTAAAATAAAACTATTTGCAAATTATAAAATATCACTAAATAATCCTAAGCAGCGGGGAGGCCTGCATTAACCGAATGTTTGCAATAATAATGATGATAAAATCAATGAAAAATTAATCAACAAAATGGCGGAGTCAAAACCAGGATTTATTCTCAAGGGAATGTTTTTCATGGGGCCATGCAGTTATATATACACAATAGAATATTAGAAATTACATATTAAAGACAGTATACCTATGTAAGAAATATGTAACGTTGGCAAAGTGTCTTGACTGATGTAGCGAAATATTTCGTTGTCGGTGAGGCGCCTCCCACCGTCGCCCCCCAACACCTGAAACGTCTGGCAAAAGTTTCCCCCTCAATGCTTAATCCATCCTTATCATACCTTGATGAAGAGTTCGTGTCCTGTTGACAGTCTTCCAAGAAGTAGTTCATTCTGGACTAGACACCATAATGCCAGAAAAACAAATTCGTATTCACCCAGCTGACTCTCCATGGATGAACCAGAAGCTTAAATCCCTAATTTTTAAGAGGCAAAAAGCTTTCAATGCGCACGGTGTACATTCCCCCCAATTTAAATATTACCGAAACTGTGTCAACAGAGAAAGAAAAGTCTGCAGGGCAAAATACTACGAATCCAACATTAAACAACTTAAAGGAGAAGTCCCAAGGAAGTGGTGGGATGAGGTTAAGCGGTTAAGTGGAATAAAGTCGGCAGGCACAAATTTATCCCATCAAATCAATGTCGAAGGATTTACGAACCTCCCTCCACATGAACAAGCTAATACCATTAATACTGCCTTTCTTGCACCCTTGGCCGAATACAGAATATCAGAACCCCTCGAACATCTTCCGTTAGAAGACCCACCAAAATTTTTGGAAGTTACTGAAGAACGTGTTCAAAAAGTTCTAGCGAAATTAAATCCTCACAAGGCGCCTGGACCAGACAATCTACCAAACTGGATTTTTAAAGAATATTCTTATCTTTTGGCCCTTCCTGTCATGAAAATTATCAATGCTTCCTATTACGAACAGCAGCTGCCTACCATCTGGAAGAAAGCTAATGTTTCGCCGTTACCAAAAAAAAAAACAGTGACTATATTGGAAAAAGATCTCAGGCCTATTTCCCTGACCCCCTGCATCTCTAAGGTGGCAGAGGAATTCATTGTTGAGGATTATGTTAAACCGGCAATTCTAGACATAATCGATGCTAGTCAATATGGAGCGATTCCAAACTCGTCAACCACTATGGCGTTAATTAGTATGCTGCATCACTGGTTTATAAACACTGACGGGAATGGGGCAACAATAAGGACAATATTGTTTGATTATCGCAAGGCATTCGATTTTATCGACCATACAATTCTTGTAAAGAAACTGGGTAATTTGAACATACCTACCGTAGAAGTATAATTAACTGGATAATAGATTTTCTTTCTCATAGAACGCAGAGAGTAAAATTGGCCGATAGCTGTTTTTCTGAGTGGGGCCTTGTTCCGTCTGGTGTACCGCAAGGTACAAAGCTAGGTCCATGGTTATTTATTTTAATGATCCAAGACCTAAATATTAATTCCCCATACATGTGGAAGTTCGTGGATGATACCACAGCATCGGAAATTCTTCCCAAAGGCAATGTTAGTACAGCCCAAAACATAGCAGATCATATTAAGCAATGGTCAGAAGAAAATAGATTAAAGCTACATCCAGACAAATGTAAAGAATCGAGAATTTCTTTTAGTAAGGACCCAGTTGTTCTAGATCAAGTCATACTCAATGGTAAAGAAGTCGAAATAGTCGAAAGTGCTAAATTATTGGGAGTAACAATAAGTAACAATCTAACTTGGCATGCCCATATAAAAGAGGTCGTCAAAAAAGCCAGTAAAAGACTATATTATCTGGTTCAATTAAAAAGAGCTAGGTTACCAGTTAAAGATCTTGTGTTATTCTATACGTCTTGCGTTAGATCTGTCATGGATTACGCAGTACCAGCTTTTTATCACTCCCTTCCACAATACTTAAAGAACGAATTTATTCGACTGGAAAAAAGGGCTATTTCAACAATAAATCCAGGAATGGACTACTCTGCAACAGGAGAAATTTTGAACATCAAACCAATAGAAGAACACCATAATTTCTTATGCAGAAATTTGTTTGATAATGTTACAAAGGATTCAAACCACAAACTTTATGACCTCCTCCCACAGAAACATAACTGGCACCACGATCTCAGAAATGGTCATCAATTTGACATTCCTCATTTTAATACTAATCGTACTAAAAACTCTTTTATATTTGCGATGGCATCGAAGATGTCTTCATAACGTTAGTGGTATCTTTTTTATTATCATCCTAGTAAAATTTTAAATATTTGCATAATTTTAACTTAATAATTATAATAGTAATTAAATAATAATTCGTATTTTGTAAACTTTACGTAATTCAGCCTTTGGCTGCAATGTAAATGTTTTATTAAACTATCTATCTATCTATCTATCTATCTGACTTTGGAAGACACTTTTTTCGGTACCAACCTCGTCCCCAGGATCTAGTACATTGTCTACTGTGGTGTAGAAATCTTCAAAAGTCTATAAATATGCATACGCACAAATACGCACACAAACATATACGAGTAAGCAATTTTATAATATAATCATCCACCATATATTATATATGAGCTATTCTGCAATCCGATTGGTCATGGTTCAGCTATTATTTACTCGCCGTATATCAGCTCATATACGGCGTAAAGTACATTTTATTTATTTATTTATTAAACTTTGCCAAAAACACGTAACAGAACAACAAATAGACATCTAGACAATAAACATGGACAAAAAATTCAAAAATGGCAGGGACACCACCACAGTGTAAACCAATTACTGTGGGCCCTATACAAAAATACACAGGAGATCTTAGTGTAGTTGGTAAAGAGTTCCAGGTTCTTTACCAACTACACTAAGATCTCCTGACATTAATATTAGGCAATTCAAAACTGATTTACAAACTTACTACCTGAAAGCCCTGAGAGAATGCTTCAACGAAGAGAATTTCAGGCTTAACACGAACTCCCTTAACTTCCCTTGGAGTTAATTTAGTTTATTTTTCTGTCTTTTGTATCATTAGGGTGAGATTTTCAAATTGTTGGGTAGTTTTCTGAGTTTGAAAATCGTCTTCACTCCTCGGTGTGTTTTGGCGCGAAACGCGAGAGGTCGGTGTCGTGGGACACGGACCTCTCGTCAGTCAATCAATCTCTTCATTTAAGTTACGGACCTGGGATTACGGACAGAAAAAAATAATAACAAATACTGGTCATATAACCAACCTCGTTAGCTTTCTGTTTCACTGCGACAATTTTCTGTAATACTGTAGCGATATTGTTAATGTCTCCGGCTTGAAGAGGATGGCTTGAATTGTCAACAGACAACTTTTTCAGCTCTTGAGTGATGTTAACCACGTTGCTGATGTTCACTTCTTTCTGGAGTAAACATAAGGTTTTAAGACTATTACCGACTTATTGTTGTTTACAATAACAATATGCAAATTAGTTAAATGCATGAATTAAGAAGCATGCGTGAAAGGCATTGCTGCCAAAAAATGAAAGTTTCAGCAGCTATTAAAATTGAGAAAATTTTCTGATATTTGGACCATGAACTCATAAATGCGTTTTAAACTTTTAAATTTCGCGCGCAAGCTATTTTTAATGCTGCTAAAAAGACAACCCCCCGGTATGGAAAATTTATCTTTATGAATTTTTTTGGTTTATTCTACATTATAATTATCCAAACAATCTATATTTATTAAAAATTTCATGACATGAACGGATTTGTGAAATTGAGAGCCGTTTCAAAATTGTCCATTTTTTTCTGACACACCCTGTATACACGCGTAAAAATCATCATGTTGATGCAAGTTGTTCAAAACAGGAGCGAACAATGTTGTGCTGCACCCCGTGAACAATATTGTTAACAAGTTGTTGAACCATCAACATTGTTGCAACTTGTTGACAATCATGTTAACAACTTGCAACAGTACTGATGGTTGAACAACTTGTTAACAATATTGTTCACGGGGTGCAGCACATTGTTCACTCCTGTTTGAACAACGCCGAACAACCTGATCAATTTTTACCCGTGTAGTTAGTGTGAAAGTTAACCAATCAAAATCGCGTATTCTAGATTTAACTACTATTTAACTACAAAGTAGTAAACAAGAACGTTTTGTACGCTAAGCATCCATTCGACTATTTTTAATTAATTATTAATTAATTAATAATTAATTTACTGCGAAGCAACCAAGGGGTAGTTCCTCGGGTAGAGGAGAAGTGATCACGTGATCGGCTAGTTGTGTTGTTTGTGGCGTCAGATATAACCAAATCCCTATCTCTAAGCCTAATCCTTACCCTAACCCTCACCCTAACCCTTACCCTTACCCTAACCTCAAAACTAATCGCTATAACTAACTGATGACGTAGTCTGTGATGCAAATTCTTCTACCCGAGGATGTACCCCAACCAGGGTAATGTTGTGCTTGCGTTGTGTTACAGAAACTTCATCTTACAAACTCTATTTATGCCGAATCTTCCGAGCAAAGGCACGAGGATCCCTTTGGAGCACTCATCAATTGAGACATTTTATCTTTGAGGAATATAATATACCACTAAAGAGAATATCCACCAGTTTACGTAAGATTTGTAAAAAGGGACGAAGTCATTAAAAATGCAGACAACATGCGTTTCAAAAGATCATCCAAAATTTTGGTAGATACTTCATTTATTTTTAAAGCCAATAAGTGCGTTACCAAGAATTCTAAAGAACTTTGCTGGATGCCCTCAAAATCATTTCTGAATTAATGCTTAGCCCGCGTGCAGGCCCACCGAGGGAAGAGTCTTCCCCACCTGCACGCGGGGCTAATTAATGCTTAGCTTGCAAAATTTCAATTACCTGCGCCAACAGAAAAAGATCTTTACTTCGTGTGTCTGGACCAGATTCGCATTGTTCGACCACAATCGGACCCCAAAAACCTCCAGTATCAGTCTGGTTTGTATACCGACATTCACGGCTCGTGGAGAACTTATTATTATGCGGGCAAGTGTAATTATGTCCAACTGGAGTTTTTGGCCACTCAAAAATTCCATATGCTTGACGTGTGCCAACTTTTTCACTTGGGCAGTAACCTTAGAATAATGAAAACAGCGAAATTTGAGAAACAATAGATCAATTAAAGTGTCCATCACCCAGCATTCACTGCAAATGTTACTGGTCGAAGTGACAAATTGGTAAAATATTTATTTATTTTTAATAGCGATTTCAGTTTTAATGTTTACTAAATTTTATGTATATATGGAATGTCTGTAAGGCCCAAACAGTATGGCTCTTTCTCCTATAAAAGGCTTATATAGGAAGACAGAAATAATTTTCTATCGAGTTTGTTTCGTTCAGTCTCAGGTTATCTTAAGGTCTTACAATCACTGCTACTTCCACGATCACTACCTCGCCAACCTAACAAATATAAAACAAAAAACCTACCTACCTTTATGTGTACAACTACACAAATCTCCATCATTCTCACAAATCCGGTCACATCTATTCAAGTACTGACATTTATTCCCACTGTAACCCGGCTTGCAATGCTTGAATTAACTTGGGCATTTTCCCTGACGACTTTAAGATTGCTATAATCTCGCCAATTCATAAATCTGACAGCAAATTAATATGTGATAATTATAGACCAATTTCAGTTTTATCATGTGTTGCAAAAATATTTGAGAAATTAATTTCAGAACAGCTTAATACGTATTTAGAATCTAACGGTTTACTCATAGAACAACAAGCAGGTTTTCGGAGGAAACACTCCACTTAAACATCTCTCCTTCGTACAACAAATCAATGGCTGCTAAATATGGATAGGGGGTGTTTGAATGGAGTTATTTTCCTTGACCTTAAAAAGGCGTTTGACTGTGTAGATCATAATATACTTACAACAAAAATGGATTATTATGGAATAAGAGGTCGTGATCTAGCTTGGTTTCAATCCTATCTTACTAATCGGATACAAATTTGCAAGGTGGATCAAATTACATCTAATGAAAGAACGGTTAAATGTGGCATACCGCAAGGTTCTAACTTAGGCCCCTTGCTGTATCTTCTATATATAAACGACCTTCCGAACTGTCTATCATTATCCTCGGCAAGTATGTTTGCTGATGACACAAATATTTCTACTCAAGGTAAAACTGACACTGAAATACAAGAACGCTTAAATACCGATTTAGAAAATGTGCACCAATGGCTAACTTCGAATAAACTCACTCTTAATAAAAAGAAAACTGAATACATGATTGTTGGCTCACGACAACGCATTTCAAACATTTCAACAGATCCTATAGTCAAACTCGGTGACTCAACAATAAAGCGAGTCAACAAATCTAAAACTTTGGGGGTCATTGTTGATGAGCACCTCTCGTGGAACGACCAAATACAAAGTATTGTTTCAAAATCTTCAAAAGCTATAGGAATGATTCGGAGAATAAAGAAATTTGTTCCACAATCAACCTTGTTAAAAGTATACAATGCTATTGTGCTGTCACATTTTGATTATTGCAGTCTTGTTTGGGATAATTGTTCCGATTATCTGTTAAACAAACTGCAAAAATTACAAAATAGAGCTGCGAGGGTGATTACGGGCAGAATATATGAAACCAGATCTAAAGATGTTTTAAAAGAGCTAAATTGGCAGCCCTTAAGCGAACGACTAAAGAGAAACAAATGTATTTTTATGCACAAAATAAAAAATAACGTCATGCCACAATCAGTAATAGAAATGTTTAAAATCAAAGAGAACCAAGTGTATCAATTGCGTAGTAACAATATAAACTTCTCCCTTGGAAAGCCAGTAACAAATTTTATGAAAAAGAGTATTAGTTACTCGGCTGCGTCCTTATGGAACAGCTTACCAAGTTTAGCTAAGGAACAAAACAGCCTTAGTAAATTTAAATCTATTCTTGACCGCAGCTGATGTGTTCTTGTAATTAGTAATCTATGCAACTAGTAATATAGGTAGTGTAATAGTTGTAAATTAATTTATATTTGTATTGTCAATTTAAGTAGTTTGCAAACGGCTCCTTGAAAAGCAGGTGCCTATGTGCCCTGAAGGACTACCGTTTTTAAATATTTTTAAATAATAATAATAATAATAATAATAATAACGTGTAGTCTCCATAACCATCCACGCATTTAGCAGCATTCGCACAAGATTTCGGCGCATAATTATCTTGATTGAATTCGCAATGCCGTCCAAAGACGTCTTTCTTGCAGCTACAATTATATCGACTACCAACCTCCGTACACTTTCCATCATTCAAACACGGCTCATCAGCACAACTCTGAACAGATTTCTCGCAGTTAACACCACTAAAACCGTACGGACATTCGCAGACATATCGTCCAATTTCATCCTTACAGCGACCTTTGTTCAAACAAGGGTTACTTAAACATTCATTGATATCGAATGAACATGTACGCTTGGCATAACCAGGCTTGCATTTGCAGTAATAATCATTGACTAAATCAATACAACGTTCCGTTCCTTCAGCCCAACATGGGTTAGTGGCGCATTCGTCAATATCCTCTTCACATCGCTTTCCCCTGAATCCTGTCCGGCATTTACAAGTAAAGTCTTTCAGTCCATCTGTGCAGTCGCCCCCATGGAAACAGGTATCGTTGCTACAGTCATTGGGATTCTCATCACAATTTTTCCCCATCCAGCCTGTGTCGCAAATGCAAGCGTATTCGTTGATGAGGTCAACGCATCTCCCGTGTTTGCAGGGGTTACTCTTGCATTCTTTAATTTCGATCTCGCAGTTTCTGCCCATAAAGCCGGGAAAGCATGTGCAATTGTAGTTTTCAATGCCATCCACACAGGTCGCTCCATGCTTGCATGGCCCACTCGCGCAGTCATCAATGTTCGTTTCACAGATATCACCTGTAATTATAATGATAATATTTCAAATCTAATGACTGCACGTGGGATTAGAACTCAGGTAGAGTATATACTAAATGAGACTACGGCCTAGTGGCTTTACCCCGGACAAGCGCTACAGAAATGTTTAACTGCGGTGGGAACACTAGCAAACAACTAAAGGTCGCAGGTTCGTTTCCCACCGCGGTCAAGCAATTGTTCAGCTTTCCCGGTGCAGAGCCACTCAGAGTGTCATCCTCTTAGATAACAACAGTTATTTCATTGAGTGACTGGATTTGATTGTGAAAATGGGTTATTTTTAAGCGTATTTATTACCAAAACCGCGAATTCTTCCTGTCGCCCAAAACAACATGTCATGCTTTCGTGTCAAAACATTCAGGGGCCGGTTGTATAAAAACGTATAGTTAAAGTTAACTGCAGTCGTTATATTAAATCCTTAACTCCAGGGGCCGGTTATAAAACTCTTAATCACTTTTTTATCACTATTTTGTAGTTAAATAGTGATTAACTCTCAAATAGGCATTTCTTATTGGATGACGTTTGCACTTAATCATAGTTAACTTTAATCACTTTTTTATACAACTGGCCCCAGTTAGTTAATTACACGATTTAACTGCGTTGCACAAAACGTAGTTAGTCGGATAGTTAACTAATCACGTAGTTAACTGTGCGTGGGGCGTTTAAACACAAAATTACATGAAGTAAGGAAAGATTAACGACCGCTGAAAAGAATTTTTAACATGATTGTGGACTCTTATTTTGCAAATAGGCGGGAATTTTAACACGGCAAAAACCAACGAAAAAGGCAGTTTTTCCGTGAGAGTGAGACGTCTACGTTAAACAAAAGTGTAGCTGTTTGGCAATTATATATCAGTGTTGCCCTATTTCGTCTTCGAGAAATCTTCCTGTGCAAAAAATATTCTGTTTCCGTAAAAACACCAAAGGAATAGCGTTTGAGGAGTCTATATTGTCACACTTATCAGGAAACATTCACAGAGAAGGACAATAAAATGGACAATAGAAAGGTTCAGATTTAACTACCGCTAGCATTAACGGATCTTTAAGCAACCAGATACGTTTATGTAGCCAATCAATTGCGCACTAAGCCAGTAAGAGGTCAAATCTGAACTTCTCTAATTTGGAAATGGCGATATCTTATTGGTCTGCAGGAAATTGTTCTGAGATTAGCTACTAATAATTTGACATGTTAGTAGTAATATATATAGGTGTATGATTGCAGCTGTTTTCTTGAATGTTTTGACACGAACATATTTTTTGGGCGAGAGGAAGGATTTGGTAATATACAGGGTATGGCTTCCCGATTTACCCCAGCCAGGGGCTAATAATATACTGGCTCGACAACTGAGGGGTAAAGGTTAGTTTTTCATAGGAGGAAAACTGGGGATCTCTCGAAACACAGGAAAGACAAACTCTACTTACAGGCATGAGTTTTCAAGCGCAGGGAAGTTACTTAATTAATTTAATCCAAGCAAATCTTCTACCAAATGTACTTTATTTCATTGGGTGAGTAGATTGCTTCGTGCGAAGCGATGGGTTCTGCATTTTCGTGGGAAATTTTTCGCTGACCAATGTTTTTCGTTTCGCACGAACAAATTTGCCTAGTGAGTAGTGGAAAACCGACTTATGGCTATTTTCGACTTCAACCATAACATTTTATTTTGTGCCCAAAGTTCCACTCTAGTGCTCAGGAAACTACATGCCATGCAAACAATTTAACATAAACTACAGTATATGTAACATTTACATACATTACATGGACCTATAATATATGGATCTATAATATATGCACCTATAATATCAGTATGGACCTATAATATATGGACCATTTATAAACCTTTACAGGTAAACTACGTGAAGCGTTCCTCTTTTGACTTCGTAACTCATTTGGAATTTTCCTCATTAGCTTTGCAAATTTGAAAAACTCTTTGCAAATCCCTTGCGGGAATTTGCAATGTTCCTATCAGCTGTTGCAATATTCCAAACTTCATTTTAAATTTTCCTAACTTCCTGTTTTAATTTCCTAACTTCCTGTTCTGTTCTGAGCGTTGTTATTGGTAGATTATTTTTGTTAGCCAATTGCAACACGCAGAACAGAACAGGAAGTTAGGAACTTGTAACAGGAAGTTAAGAACTTCTAACAGGAACTGAGGAAATTTTTTTTGACTTTTAGCAACATTGCAAATTCCCTCAAGCCGAGCCTCAAAGAATTTGCAAGGGAGTTTTTTAAATTGCAAAAGTAATGAGGAAAATTGCAATCAATTTAGAAACTCAAAAGAGGAACGCTTCACGTAGTTTACCTGTAAATCCTAGCTTGCAACTGCAAGTCGAGTATCCCATCCGCTGCATACAGATTCCCCCGTTTTGACATTTGTTCGTATCCGCACATTTCCAGTTCTTGACGTGACAAAAGGTGCCTGTGTAGTCTGCTGAACAATCACAAGTGAATGAACTGTTAACGTCAGGATGGCAGGTTGCATTGTTTTTGCACGGGTTTAGCTTACACCAATCAATTCTTTTCTCACAATTTCGACCTACACAGATTATAATAATTATTATTCATTCCATACATGGAACAAGTAGATGGGGTGCAGCTGATAATGGTAGTTATTACAGTGTGAAATGATTTTGTGCGTAAGGTTCGCAACATTGTCATTGTATTTGGAGGAGTCTTGTAATTAAAAAATGTGGTTTAACTTGCTTGCTCCAAAATGTCAACATTACTGATGTTGACCGCCAATGGTCCGCCATGTACTGCACTGTAACAATTAGTCAATTACTGAAGCGAATTTTCTGCTTGGGATAAAATGATGGAAGCTAATCTATATATAAGCCTTGTTTTCCATTTAATTGTGGCTGTTGTGACCAGGTAATGGTCGCCGATGCGAAATAGCCTGGATACTGCCAGG